GAGATCTGGTGCCGCCTATCGAGTCCGTCTTTGATTTCGGCAGTCATACTGAACAGCGACCAGGGTCACTGGATGCTTCCGTAGACAGTATACCCCTGTGCGCAATCCACAATCATCGGGTATGAACCTCGCTATCGAGCGACCGTGTTGACTCCATATCGTACGCATTTCGAGAACGTCGACGTGGGATTTGGGAAACCTGATGATGTTGACCACACCTGTGTCGCTGGACTCGGGATGGGACTTCTGGCCGATTCCGCCATTTCAGTGTCGTAACAGTGGAAAGCTTTGTAATTTCAGGATGTAAGGCGACCCGCCTTGCCTAGAGAATGGGAGTCACCGTCGGGGAGGCTTCGAAGAACTTGAAGCCTCAAGCGAGTCCCATGAATGACCATGAAATAGTAGACAGCTGGGCCTACGTTGTGACTGGTTTGAGTGCCAGTGCGGTCCATCAAGCGCTCGATGCAATCTACGCCCATGGAGGTGTCCCGACGCCGAACCAAATATTCATCAGTGCGCTTTTTTTAAACAGTGTGACCATCTAAGATCCTCCCCATTGACTGAGTCGTCTCTCGCACAAGGATGATTTTCGCAATGGTCCTGGTAGCTCGCAATGGTAGTGAACCACAGTTTGGGTGAGTATGATGCCTTGCATATTGACAATGTGCCTTCAGCCGCCGACAGCATTTTGCTGATTGGCAAAAGAGCGACGCTGCCCAAGGGAAAATGCAAAATTAGCAGTCATACAATGCTGGCTTTCTGCGCGTCCATCAAGGATGTCCAAGCTCAAGCTAAGAACACAAGCAAGTTTTGAAGTAGCATGTCTCAATAGAGGCATGGAAGGACGTTGTGTTAGGTAACACAAGCGCCGACATGAAAAACCTGGGATCTATCTTGGGCGACGCCGGCTGCAAATGCTTCAACTTAAAACGTTGCTTTGGCCCACTTTGGAACAGCTGCCGAGGCTGGGCTTAGCTCCAGCCACCCGCCGTCCTGATCATGCCACGTATGTTGGGCGACGTGATTTTCGACGAAAAGACAACGCCCGCAAAGTACGCAACAAGAGCGACGGATGAGAGTGTGAACTTTCAAGCCACTGTGAATATGGCATTCAAGATCGGGATCATTGACGAGAATATGGCCTACATCAAAATTGGACCGCATTCTGTCATGCACTTCCTTTGTGATGTCCATTCGCCGCGGATTCATCACGAGTGTGCCTTCGATGCGGCGTGAAAAAGTATGAAAAGCTGGCAGACGTTGAGTCGCAACATGGCGACGTTGTACTGCGCAGGTGTCGGGATCGATTTCAATGACTTCCATCAGCCCTTCGAACAATCGGCGAGACTTCGAGATCTGCCGCTGTATGCATGGTCTCATAAGAAGCATGGCCGAAAGCGACGAAGGATAAGGCGGGAATGTCAATGCCAACAACACAGCTGCCAAGCTAGCTAGCCTGCTCGTCCCGCTTAAGATCGTCTATCTATCCGAGAAAGGTAGACTGTATGACAAGGAGATGGGGAGGTTGCTCAAAGCCATCAAACTGGATGAAGAATATGACGAGTACATGAAGACGTCATAGATAACCCATAGCACGCGCAGCAACTGACGAGACATCAAGCCGTTGTCGGACGACCGCCCGTGCCGCTCCAGGTTGGCAATTGTCCACGCGGAATGTATCATTCAGCCGTTTTGGAGCCGGTGCGCTCATCTGACGAGGCATAATTCTGTGATAAACGTTGTCTCTGCTGGGAGACGCTCGTGTGAAACTGAGAGGGCCTCGAATCGGCTAATGTGTTCGATCGCTACCCTGAGAAGAAAGACTCCCGACCATTCAGGGCGTACTACGATGATAACTTGAAAGCCCTCGGCATATTCCTGCTCTCGAACGACAGGACGACATCCTTAGGTCATCTAGCCACCTTGAGCCGCTCCGCGTGGCCTTCAAATGATGCGAACAACGTCCTACAAAATGTGAAGTGCGACCTCCCGAAGCTCTCGCGGACGGAGAGGAAAAAAGATGAAAACCTCGCCTGGTTCTGTGAGAAAGGCGACGGCTCCATCACCCGCAAAGGCGAAGTATCGTTCCGGGACAGCATTGAAAGCCCGGAGGAGTTCCGCTAGGTCGTGCCTGAGTTTGGCCAACACGGCCGATAGATGTTCGGCGACATCAATCTCATGTCACAGTTGCATCAAACAGCGACTGCTGGAGGGCAATCCGATCCATGGCGGCTGGCCTGGCCGGTAAGAGACAGCCTTAATTGCAACAGACCAGCTCATTCACCACGAACACTCTCCCCAAGAAGCGTGCGCATCTGAGAGCTTTCGAGCAGAAAAGGACCCATGAGAAGGGGTATCCGCCGAGGTGGCTTTGATCGATGTACGTCGCTGCAACGGTCAAGCTCTGATCAACCTGCTGAGCTCTTATTTCCAACGGGTAGCCATGCCATGCATCTTCGCAAGAACTGCCAACCTGTCAGGGAGCTTGCTGGATATGAGAAGGAGATCATCTATAAGAACCTTAGTCGCGACAACAGCTGCAAAAAAGCCGAACGAAAGGAAATCGACTGCTAGTTTATGGCGCTACCTAACGGAAGTTTCAACCCTACGCCAACGCCTATTGATGAGTGATAAGTCTAGCAACGAAGAACACATCATCATCGACTTCTCACCCAACGATCGCTTCAATCCCAAAGACCCGTAGCCTGCCCGTACTCACCCAACTCAGCAACGTCACCAGCGCCACCGGCATCAGCATTTCAAGCTGCCACGTGACCACCGTCCAGCTCGGAATTGCGTCTTTGGTGTCACCTCTCGACCCACCGCCTGGACATCCGACGGTGTGAGGAGTGGTGGGCTACTCAAACTCGGGAAACAGGTTTTCGCCAAAGAACGACGCCGCCAACTTGACGGACAGATTCCCTATTTGTTCACAGACACTCTCCATGAGCGCGGGATCTCATCCGCTGCGTACTAATGTCGCCTTCACCCCCCCACGTTGCGGCCTGGTTCACCGACACGCACCACACCAATCCTCCGCCCCTAGCCTCCTCTATATCCTCGCGCGACTTTCTCCAGCTCTACTAGGACCGCTACAACAAGGAGAGGCTCGTTAAGGTCTTCGACGGAAGCCCTCTCGTCAAGACGATTGCCGGCAAACACGGTGTCGAGATCGGCAGGTTCTCAGTCCACTTGAGCGGGAAGGGCGCTGTCGTAAACGTCACCACTGACAATTTGCCGAACACCGCCGCCTCCCAGTGACCCCAGAATATGAACATCGCGTTGGGGTGTGTCGAGTACGACAGAATTCAATTGAGATAAGCTTCCGGTTGAACTCAACCTATGAGATGCAGGGAAAGCTCAAATATAAATAGACTTAGAGCTTGAGGGGATGGAGGTTTCGTTCCGCGCTGGGAAATGCAGAAACTGATGTTACTATTTGTCTCTCAATCCTGAAAGGTTTGCATGGTGTACTGGAATACTTAGCGCTCTTGGGAGCGGAGAGACACCTGTGATGGTCATGCCTGTATGATATCATCCCAGCCCTTCTTCTCCCCGGTGTTGGAGAGCGAACCTCCCATCCCCAAGTCACAATGGTTTCTGCGTCTTCATTTTTGCATGAGACGAGAAAGGGTTCCAGCGCCTCCGGGGCTCCTGGACGGGTTCTTGACGCAATTCTCCTTCAAAAGAGGAGTAAGGATCGATCCGCAAGGACCAATAATGCATACGGAGAAGACCTATTGTCTCGGCATGCATCATTCGCCAACATTTGGCCCCTCATAATTTCAACCACAAGATAAAATTCACGTTGTGAACCCGATTGGAGGGGCATGGAGTCGACCGCACAGTGGATCGAACAGTTGCTTGGGACAGGTTTGAGTGTTTTGACACAAATATGATGGTAGGGTGTCTCCTGTTTCTGACTATCGAATAGCCCCTAGACACTTCCAAACGTCGAAAGAACAGGATCCAATCCCTCTTGCTGCTTTTCCACGCGAGGACAATATCCCAGCAGAGCAAAGGGGACAAGGAAGTCAATTCTGTGAGATTATGTATGCCACATTCTGCATAATCTGATGTCGCGCGCATCTTTCACAGCCTTGCGGCTCCCCAAAGTTTCAATGGCTTCACCACGGTTTTGGTCGCGCGGGACGTGGGTGTTGGGATGTATGCTTGCGGATGTGGTTGATCTTGGCGCCACCGCGTCCGAAGACAAGGTAGGCCCGGGCATTTTCACCAGCGGCCCCATGTGCCGCGCCTCGGTACCGAAACCTCCCCCGGCTGCGATGCCACTCCATATTTGCCACGTCGGAGCGTCTCACCACCAAGAATGGCCACATCTGGGCTGAACGTTGGAGACGTTATATTCAGCTTCTTGATCTATGTGATATTCCATCTTGGCGACTTTGTGCGCCCCAATTAATCAAACGCCTCAGGCTCCCAAAAGTACCTCTCCAGTTAGCATTACCAAGGACTGAATGTGCCCGATCCATTGCTGTTGTTACGCTACTCAGACCATCGTCACCATAGGATTTGAACCGACACATATGCACATCGTTCCATATATCACCATGCTCTGTTCAGGCATTGGCCGTCTTTTGCCCCCTGAACTTCCTGACTTCGTATTGGAGAATGAACAGCTGCACACTTGCGAAGATGAAGCGAGTTCGCGCCTGCCCCCAGCCTCCTCTACACAGTGTCCGTTTCCTTGACATTGGTCCCAATCGTTGTTAATGTTCCGGCCAGCGTTCTTGATAATCTCAGTGTTCCTATGTCGGCTCTGGTCCGACGCCAGCAACGCAGCCAAGTCGCCTGCCAGACCCATATCTGCGTGGGTGTCCAAGGGATCGTCCAATTTACTCTTTACGGTAGTCCATTGCCGGATGGTCTCGAGAAGTGTGGTGGCCGCAGTCGCAGCAGTCAGTGCTGATTTGAGAGACGTGCGGTGGACCATGTGGACAGAATCGATCAAACTAGTCAAGGTCGACTTTTGGATGGCGTCATCTTCGGACGCAGCCATTCGACGCAAGACTGGTAAATGTAGGAAACGTGGCATACTCAGAACTGCTGGTGCAGAGAAGCTGGTGAAAGCTGCGGTTCCGCCGGTAGTAGTTCTGGAATTGCTGGAGTTTGTTGGCGGGAGTCGCCGTAAGGGGGCATGTGATGGCCGAAATTTCATCAGGATGAAGCGTACCAGCCCATGTCACCAGAATGGCGTTCATGAGACATATCCTTTTCAGCGTTCCATCGATGGCATCCGGAACGGCTTGCCCGGTGGCAAGGCACTCAGCAAACCGTATGGCGTAGACCCCATCATCCCACCCGTTTTGCTGCTCGGCACACTGCGGAAACTGGAGTCAGCAATCCGACATCAAAGATTGAGGCTCCAATGAAGGGACGGCATACCGCAGGCCTTTCCAAGTTTCTGGCCATGGCCGGATTGCCATGCGCCCATCTCACAAAGTTGGTTACTGTCGCACAGCAGCTGGCAAACTTCCCTTCAGGGTCGGGCATCGAGTTGTACTCTCGAAGAAGCCCACCAGCGCCTGTCCACATGTAAAGTAGCCAATGGAGCTCCTGATTGACAGCAATCAAGACCCTATTTCGAGACATTGTATTTTGAATTTTGGCTCTGAACCTGGGTGTGCGGGTTTTGCTGGCGATCGTGAGACTGTCAACAATGCTTACCTTCTCTGACGCCAGGCGATGTGCCATCGTGTTGATGATAAACTCGTTTAGAAAACGCCCAGAGACCGGAAGACCCATGCTACTTAGGATCTCGTTGACCCTCATAATCATTGTCGGAGGTCTCTGGGCGAGGGGCGTGGGTTTGGGACCGTGGAACATCGTGCACTGTAGTCTTTTTGGCGGCGGTGTGGGATGTCTTTGCTGTTGGATGCCTGCAGAATTTCTGTCATGCTGAGGGACCTTTTTCTCTCAGGAAGACCACCCCGGGTGACGAGTACATTGCTTTCCATCTCGCAGGGTGATGGAGACTCCTCTTTGATTGTTGATAGCTTGGTCGGTTCTTGGGGTGACAGTATTTCGATTTGGTCTGTCCTGCTCGAATGCCATGGTATCAGCCGGCTGTCGGAAACATCAGTGGACTCCTCCACGACATTTGCGATCTGTCCAATGTCGCAGTCTTCGCTTAAGTCCTGATTTGCCAAGCAGAAGTTTCCATCGTCGTGGTTTGGTGAATCATTGTCGTGTCCTGATGCAACTTCAGGATCCAATCCCTGAACCGTCGAGCCCACCAGAGCATTGCGCAGCGGAGGAAAAGGTCGTATTTCGTAGCCAGTAACAGCATTGAAAGAACGTCGCCCATGTCTGATTGTGCGTCTTCGCGGTCGGTGCGACTTGTGTCTTGGCCTTTGGCATCTTTCTGGTACTCTCCACGCGCCCGTTCTGGGGATTCCGAGGTACGTTGGTGCGGTCTCGTAGCATTCTCAGAAACGTGGACACCTTACCCCTGAATATCGTTACCCCTGTCAGAGTTGTGTGGGGACGCCATTGATCATGGTGGAATAGTCGAGGACTCTCGTACGTGTCTGCGAGTCCGCGCGTGATTTGGGAGCTCTGAGTCGTTCAACGAATCTGGAGTATCAGGAGCAGGTCAATGGCTGAGAAGGAGCATGCGCATATGGAAATGTCTACAGGCCTGTATGACTTATTTGAAAAGGAATTCTGGTGTTCGTCTGCGGGCTCTCTTCTCGTTCTGTGGCCGATCGACAAATCGAACGAAGATGTCATTCAACGTGAGTCTTGGAATTTCATGACAGAGGCTGTGCAGAGCGTCGCAACAGGTGCGCGAACCGACAACAGTGATACCAAATAAAAAGGCAATCACACCGAGTGAAGTGCTCAGATGGGCGAGGGTGGAATTCCGGCGTCTGAGGATGTCGTCTGATAGGGATGCGTTGCCGCCAATGTAACAATCGTCAGTGGCCCAGACCAAGACCTTGGGGTGGACGTGGGTCAAAGCCCAGTTTCGAAAGCCAAAAGTGGGTTAGTTCTGCATTATTGGCGTTATTGACTTGGTCGTGTTTAGCGACAAATTCGACCTCAAGCCGGCGCCACAGGGAGGGGATAATGCCGTTTGTGGCAGGGTCGATTAGACCGTTCAAGGCCTCAAGTGTGTTAAGCAGCGGCATATTACCAAGACAGGTCAATGAGAGAACATGATAAGGAAGACGGCGGGGTAACCAAAGAGGGCGATGCGCGAGAGGCTGCGAGGATAAGGGTCGTGGCGGTTGGGAACAAAGTGGGAGGATGGGAGATGGAAGTTTCAGTTGCCCTCCCTCTGAAACGACCCAAAGTTCAGGCGACTCATCACGAATCTCCCCACCTATCTTGCCGTTCAATGGACAGTGTCGTCTACGGAAAAGAGCAAGGCCTCGCGATGCCTCCTCGTGCTTCCAGAGTGAGTGCTGGAAATGTCACATGAAGTGGTTTGGCTGAAGCCACCAAAGTGGACCGAACCTTTCCCCACACCGTGAATATCAGATGGTTTCTTGCTGACAGCATCCAGCCAATCAGCGAAAAGCCAAAGGCTGGAAAGGGAAGCAGCAGAGCGCCGCCCAATTGCGGACCCATCGGAGCACCGCCTTTTCCGACCGCAATCCGCATGGCTTGCAATATTGAGTCGCTTGCCAGGGCATCATCCATTTCCATCTCATCAGGACGTGATAAAGCCTTCCACCGGCCGATACCTTGGACAGATTATGTTCTACTTTGAACACACCCGTGAACGTCCCGATGGTGCGGACGTCTTTCAGATCTGCTTTCCGGCAATACACATCGGCAACACTGCCACGTACTTCGGCTTAGCGAGCAAAATTGGATTGTATATGTCCATGGTGTCGCAGTAGTCGATACATCAGTTTTCATCTCCTCTCGTTGAGGCCCGTCTGATTTCTCCCATTCCATACTGAGTGCATAGTAGAGGTTTCCACGACCCTTCCTGCAGAGTTTTCTTGTTGATGACGGTCGACGCGCACATGCAAGAAGATACCTCCGAATGGCAACGCCTCAAATAGCCCCCATAGTCCCAGGTTATCTGGGGCAGAAGTGTCTACGGAATCCACCACGACAACACTGAACACGTCGATCATAATGGTGAGAAGACTTTGAGAAACCGGGATGAGTTGGCAAGCATCATGGCTGCGTGCAGGCACAGAACCAGCTGAAAAGATTGCAGCGCGGTCTTTTCAATGCTGAACATGACAAGGGCTGCTGCATATGCGATCACAACAGCCACCTTGGGTGTAGGCGCGAGCTCCTTTCTTTGAGTGGGTTAAACGGATCTGACACGGAGACTTTCGAGCCATGCTCCTAGATGATGACAAGGGCTGATATTGAAGCTCGCCTTCCGCTGAGTGCTGTGTCTCTGGGACAATCCTCGATGTGGGAGAATTTGAACTTGATAGACTTTGGACTTTGTACTGGGCAGCTGGTGCTCTGGTGTGCATGGGGCGAAGATACTGCCGGGAAGGGACGAGCTGAGAAACCAACTCACGCCACAGCCTGGCAAATTGTTGCTCACATCACTTCAGGCGCTTTTCCTCATCACTTCTTCGAATGCGCAAACGTGCCCGGTGGTCTGCGCTATCCGCCTCCTTTTCCTCGTGGATGCTTGAGCAGCTGCTGCTTTCACACTGATCCTCTGAAAACCCCGAGAAAGTCGGAAATGCTGTGAAGGTACTGCTAGTGAAAGCATTCAGTTGCTGTACAACAAAAGAATCCAGAAGTTCACCACGTAAACATGCTACACATAGACATGTTGAGGGAAGCCTGTCCAAATCGTCTGCGGCGAATTGAGGTGCTTTATTCTTGCAATCGAAGGACTTGGATGTCGAGAAATATCGAAAGCATGCATAAGAACCAGATTTGATATGGCCCGAGGTTCGTTCGAAGATATCCAAGCGCCTCGTGAGAGCACTGTCTCGGACGAACAATTCCCAGTCAGTCGAGTATCAATGGAAGCGCAAGGTGCTGCTCACCCTGAAAAGTATTCACGATTTGCTGGTGCTGGGGCGTTTGAAGCTTCTCTGTCCAGACAACTAACGGCCCCTTCATCTTCACAACAAGTAGCACGTATTTCAAGACGTGTCTTATTCGATATCTGCCAATAATCAGCCTTGACGTCGTCATCCTTGCAGAGGTTATCATAACCGTGCGGATAGCACGACTTTCACTCTGGAATTGCCAGATCTAAACAGAGGTGGATGGGACCCTTGCGTGGAACCACTGCGCTACCTCATGTCACATTGACTTGACCAATTCTTTGGATGCCAGTAGGTTGGGTTTGACCACCTCTGCAAACTGCTCCAACTTGCAGATGATGAAGGATCTTGGGATCCGCAATGCTGGGCACCATCTCGCTCCTATGCTGCTAACAGCCGCTCTTAAAATTAAGATGTACAACTTGATTCACCACAGAAACGGCCGCCAAAGTTTCTCGCTGCATGTATGTCATGCACCAGAAAATTGCATTCAGGCAAATGAAAGCGCATCAAATAAACCACCTTTTGCTATAAACAAAGACGTAGATTGGCCTTGAACATTACAATATATCAACGAATGCAGCCTGAAATGACCACAGGATATGTGCCTAATCCTAAAGTCCACGTTTGAACTGTGTGCATCTATCTATCCCGGCACGTTCAAAGTACTTGTACCTGGCAATTTGTTAGCGCATCATTCATGGATTCTAGCTATTCTCAGGGAGGTTTTCAGGCAGATTTCGTATCTCGAACTCAGATACTATAGCTGGCCATGGTGAAAAGTTTCTTCCCAGCAGTGAACCCAGACTAGGCCCGGTGAACACAGGAACCCGGCCGAATGATAGTAGCAAGTACCAAGTCATGTTTTGATGGAAGCTGGAGCGGATGACTGGCAATCTGTGACTCGGATACTGCTATGACGATCTCCGGGGATAATGTTCAATAAGAATGCTGCGACTGGATAATTTGTCAGCTCTCAGTAATCATAGCAATGAACGAAGCAACAGAAATGAAACAAACGTGATGGTGAGGGAGGGAAGATCCTTGATACTGTATTAGGGAGTAGTTGATTCTTTCCTTCGACCTCATCTCTGTTTCCTTCTTATTCTTCTTCTTCTTCTCTGTGATTGAATCGGCGCAGAGGCCATCACTAAAATGTAAAATGATGGGAACGCGTAAAGCAAATGTAGACAGGGTGTAAAGCGTCCTAAGCGAAACCGAAGTGGTGTAGGTAGTGATAGTCGAATTAGAGGGTATCGTCGCGCATAGCTTCTTCATCCAGCATGTCATCAGCCCAGATGCCGACTGTGCGAAGGGCTTGGACGGCGGTGCGAACACTCTCAACCCACAGCCTGGATCCCTGTGGTGCCGGCATATCCTCAGCCAAGCGGACGATCTCACGCCATCGTTCAAGCTCGTCGCGCAACACCGGGCGGGCCTCGGATGGAATGGCCAGGGGGGCCTGCGGCGGAGTCTGGAAATCTGTGGGAGAGCTCGACGCATTCGACTGGGCTGGTTGGCGTCTTGAGGGGGTCTGGGGAGGGGGGGTGTCCGCTAGGGGCGTGAAATTGGGGATGGAGGGGCTGCGGGCATCCTGCTGTAGAGATG